TATTTATTTACTTTTAAAAATTTATTTTACAGCTTATCCCATAAAATATTATAATTAAATATTTATTTAATTAATTAATTTAATTAAATAAAATTTCTAAATTAAATTTATTTCTTAAAGAACTAGATACCTTTAAAAACGAATAACATTTCATTTCTAATATATTATTAAAAATAATTTTGCCACATTAACTTATTTTAAATAATTTTTATTTAATAAACCCTGATACACAAGGTACAATAAATTAAATTTTCTTTTAAAATAAAAATTTTTCAAATTATTTAAATTTTCTTTCACAATACTATTGCACTATAATTAATATTATTTTTTCTTTATTAAATACTAAAACAATTCAATTTATAATTATTTTTAATAATTTAAAATATAAAAAAATTATTAATAAATAAAATCTAATCAATTTATATTGATTTGCAAAAAAATCGTTTCAATGTAAATGAAATACTTTACTAAATAAGCTTTAAATTGCATTCTAGGTACACTTTCCAGTACATTTACTATGTTACGACTTATCTTATCTTAGTAGTAAGAGTGACGGGCGATGTGTGCATATTTTAGAGCTAAAATCAAATTATTAATCTTTATAATTTTACTATCAAATCCACCTTCAATAAATATTTCAAATTTATATCCGTTTAAATAAATTTATTGTAACCCATTTCTACTTAAATATTAGCTACACCTTGATCTGATATATTTTCTTTTAAAAAATTTAGCAAATTAACATTCTTATAAAATATTCTAATAACGACGGTATATAAACTTATTACAAACTTAAGTAAGGTCCATCATGGATTATCGATTACAGAACAGGTTCCTCTGAATCAGTGATGCCAAGTGTAGGGATTTTTCCCTTTTTGTAGGGATTTTTTTTAAAAATTTCACGTGTAGGGAAAAAGGGAAAGATTTCTTACTATTGTCAAGTTGTAGGGATTTTTTCAATTTCATAGTTTTTATCAACTAAAAATATACTCTTTCATGTATTAGACTTTAAAATTAAAAATGAATTCAATTTTAAGTGTATCGTTAGAAAAATTCCGCTTGCAATTTCTACAATATGTGTACCTACATATCGCTACAAGCCTGGCATAATCCAAAATTCGGGTTTCTTGAACTGAGGTCTACAAAACATGCGACATACTAAAATCTTTCATATACATTTATCAAATTTCTAACATGTCTATTATTTTCGATGTGAAATCGATTTTTTGTAAACGTAAAAACTAAAACCCACGTTTTCGTGAATATTAGACAACTAAAAATTGAATTTCAATTTAGATAAGAAACACATTAACCTCATCTATCTGAATTTGGATTTTTAAAATCCCTTGATTTGTTTAAAAGTTATCAAAGAAAATAGTTAAATGTCATTAAATAATCATATCCATTTTTCTTGAAACGACTTTTTTGGATTATGCCAATCCTGTAGGGCGATATATTCTGACTCCTTATAGATAGAGTAGTCGGGGGCTTAATGCAGTAACTCAGGATTGCAAAAAATAATTTTATGTTCTGAAAATTTATAAAAGTAAACCGCAAAAAGTAAACGCGAAAGTAAACCTTATTTAAAATAATTATATTAAATTTTATGACATTTTTTTGTTGGGGGCACATAAAATAAATTTTTAACGTCGAATCGTGATATATATATATATATATATATATATATATATATACACCCAAAAATATTGGTCCTGCTATCTCTACAAAAATTGGAAAAGTTTAGTTTTATATATGTCTTAATAATTCTAGTGATTTTCGTAAAGATCGGGCATTATTTGACCCTAGCCCCCATACAAAGTCCCCCTCAGAAAATGACTTGAATGTCCACAATTCACTTATAAACAGTAGTATCACGATGAAATTTCGCACAAATGAGTTTTATATAAACATAATTCCCAACAATAAATTTTATAGGGATCGGACCAAGTTTTACTCTAGCCCCCATATAAGCGGACCTTCCGATTTGGGCCTTTTAGCTCATAACTTTGTCAAATATACTACTATCTCTCCAAATCGGCACAACTAAGTTTGATATAATTATAAATAACACTGTCGATTTTTATAATGATCGGGCATTATTTGACCCTATCCCCCATACAAAATCCCCTTCAGGAAATGACTTGAATGTCCACAATTCACTTATAAACACTAGTATCAATATGAAGTTTACCACAAATAGATTTTATATAAACATTTTATATAAAATGTCGACATTAAATTTTATAAGGATCGGACCAATTTTTGCCCTAGCCCCCATACAACCGGACCTACCGATTAGGGCCTCTTAGCTCATAACTACCATAAATATACTACTATCTTCCCAAAAATTGGCATAACTAAGTTTGATATGTAATTATAAATAACACTGTCATTTTTCGCCATGATCGGAAATAAAAAGTAGCCTATTGCCAGACATACGAATGTGCTGTGAAAATTTGAAGAAAACAAACAAACATATAAACACACAAACATACAAACATATAAACATACAAACAAAAACACATTAATTTTTATATATGTATATAGATAATTCCCAATAATACATTTTATAAGGATCGGCTCAATTTCTGCCTTAGCCTCCATAGATCCAGACCTTCCGATTTCGGTCGTTTATCTTTTAACTACGTCTAATATACTACTATCTATCCAAAAGTCGGCACAATGTGGTGATGTTTGTAACACTCAAAAATATTTGTTCTTATTAAGCTATGTCCGTCTTTGTGACCGTGTAAACCTTGTGTGCACGCAACAGATCGCAATTTTGAATATAATTTGTTAAAATGTGTCACATACTATTTTCTGGATCCACTGACGATGGCTGTTGAAAATGATTGAAATCGGTCTTCTATTTTTCCTAGTCAGCATACAACCGAACATGGACAGACATTATTTGGAACCTATATAAGATTAACAGAAATGCTTCATTATTGAAATTAATCACATTTAATATTCGCAATTGGTGTAGGGTATCATATGGTCGGCCACGCCCGACTGTAATTTCTTATCTAAAAGGAGGAAAACATTGCCCAATGGTAGTGAAATCTTTATAGATATTTTAATAATTAGTGACTTGGAACATAGGTGTTTCCAATTGCATTGTTATGTGAGATACTCTAAAGATCAAACTACCAACAAATTTCTAATTTTAAGCGTCTTAGAACAGATAGCTTTCTAATTGCGTTGGAGATTAGGAATATAAAATTCAGACATTCATATTTTTTTGTTAATAGTATTATTAAAAAAATTATGAAAATACATATATTTTGTTTGCACTTCGAGATTCAATAATTCGGATAGGAATATGATCGTGATCTAATATATAAAGGATTAGTTAGCATGATCTTAAATATTTTTAACAGTATTTTAGCCACAAAATATGGAAAAGAAGAGCGTGAAAATATAATCGAAATGGAAAATCCTAATAATATAAAACAAGTTTTTTATCTCTGTTCAAAAAACTGCAACTAGATACAATTTCTTTATACAATTGCGTAGGAAATCCCATGTCATACAGTGGTATAGGAAAAAAAAGAGGGAAATAATTCGGTAACTTCTAAACGGTTAATCCGATTTTAATGAAATTTGGTATGCACAAAGAGGAGGTGTTGTCGAGTTTAGGTTTTGAATAAGGTTAACTTTTAAATTTGTTATATATATGGATGAAAATAATAGTGCTAGGTAAATTTTCTAAAAGATGTTGAGTTTTCCCTAATTAATTTGTCACTTAAAAAACATTAGGTAGGCATGTTATATATCAATGGAAAGGTAATTTTGTCTATTTTTCAAAACTGTATATAATTTTTTAAAATTAAAAAATTCGCGGAATACTTTTTTAAAAAAAATTAAAAAATGTTTTTTATTCAGTTTTTGCGAAGATACAAATTTTTCAAATTGCAATAAAAATTTTATTTATGAATATTTTTTGATGAAATTTTACAGTTAGGTAGATTTTTTTACTCAAAATCCAAAATTAAATAAAAATTTCGAATTATCGAATATCGACTATGCGATTTGAGAATTTTTGCTCAAAATTGAATTTTCCATAAAAAATAGGGTTTTTTTGGATGGACCTGGTCCCCTCGGTATCAAAAATTTTTAGGTTTTGTTTCATTTATCGTATTTTATGTAAAGTCAGCTTTCCAAAAAGTATAAATTCTATATACATCTTCTTAGAAACTTTTTAGATAACTTAAAAAGAAAAATATACTTTTTTCCCAAAAAAATTACAAAAAATCGCCTTTTTTTAATTTTTTAAATTAAAATGCCTATAACTTTGGACTCAGTCATGATTTTTACATAATTCTTTCACTGCTTGATATATAAACTTGTTGTTAAGCGAATAAAAAAAAATCGGGAATATTTGGACCCGCTATTATCAAAAAACTAAAGTAAGGACGGTAAAATTAAAAAATTTTAATTTTCAAATGCGAATATCTCCTAAACTATAAGAGATAATTTACTGCTACGACGACATTTTTTTTTAATCGGAACTCAAATGAAGAAATAGGATCGATTTAAAAATTTAACATAGCCGAGGTGTCCTAATTTGAGGACCCCCCGCCGGGCCCCTGGTTGGCCTATAAGGTCCAAATTCAAAACCTAAACTCGACAACACCTCCTCTTTGTGCATACCATATTAAAATCGGATTAACCGTTTAGAAGTTACCGAATTATTTCCCTCTTTTTTTTTCCTATACCACTGTGATGTCATTTGTCAAGAATCGTAAATTGTTTTGTATTGTGTGAATTTTATGTTGTAATCGTCTAAAATTAAGTTTAAGTATATGTTGTTTCTTTTTATGTATTTTTTTTTATGTTAGTTTATTAGTAATCGTTCATTAATTTATGTCTTTGATTTGATTTAATTATAATTGTGATATTTTTATTGTTCATTTTATTGAGATATATTGATAACCATACTTAGGTGATAGATTTGAAAAGGAAACTTGACAGATGTTATGAAAATAGTGGCATTAGATTTCAAAGTTTTATTTTATTTATTATAATTCATGATAAAGTTTTATTTATTTAAGCATTTTTGAAATAGGGAAACAGGAGAAGAAAGTAAGATGATGGGTCTTCCTCGAACTGCGGATAAACCGAAGACAGCACCTAAGGAAAATGAAAATAATATGATCGATCTTTCGGGAACGATAAATAACCCAAATGGTACTCCCTTACCTCAAACTCCACGTGTAGGTCCACATACAGGAGCTATATCTAGGGATTATTACAACCCACCACCAACAAATTTGTCATTTCCCCCACCTCCAAGTAAACCATCGGATAAAAAGAATCCACAAATGTATTCCAATATGATAAAGAAAGTAATCATTGAGGCTCAGGAAGAATTTAAGTTGAATCTAGAAGAAAAGTTGAATCATAAGATAAATGAGAGCATACAATCAGGTTTTGCGGAAGTAATGAAAGAATTTAGGAAAATATCAATAACAGGAAAGGACCGACAAACTGACAGCGTACCTACTAGTGACATTCAAAATGAAGTAGGAGTTTGTAGGAAAGATTCGAATAGATTGGAACTTTTCAGAAAACCAAAATTCAGACATTTCGTCTAAAAGGACAACGAACAACAATGAGGACCAATTAGAATAACCGAAAGTACCCGAAAGGACACAATAAGACATATGTTGACAGATGGGATATAAGTTTCGACGGGGATGGAAATCATTGTTATGTAGAAGATTTCATTTTTAGAGTGGAATATCTACAGGAACAATATGGTTGTTCGTGGACTGATATATTGAAAGATTTTCATAAATTGCTAAAGGGCGAAGCAAAGGACTGGTATTGGCTAACGATTCGGACAAAAAGCATAACTAAATGGGATGATGTGAAAATCGCGTTATTGCAACAATACCGTACTAATCGTAGTCAATATGAATTTATGAGAGATTTAGAAAAGCGTAGGCAAAGGACAGGGGAAACTATAGATACATATTTTCATGAGATGAAACTATTGAGAGCTCGTTTACGTACACCTCTTCCAGAATATGAGATGATAAGCATACTGAAAAGGAACATCAGGCCAAATATTGGACAAATTCTTTATTCTATGCCTATATATACGGTTGAACAATTGAGAGATGAATGTTCTATAGTAGAGAAAAATAACATTAGAAAAGACCCGGTAAATACCATGCCACCAAATAGATATAATCCAATTCGAAGACAGGCTAACGAAATAGTCGAAGAGCATCAAGCAGATGATGATATAGTAGAAGAACTAGGAGGTAATAACCAACAGGAAACTAAAATACAATCTAATTTGGAATTGTTGAAAAATTGGACATATGTTTATGGACTGTCCTTCTATGCAAAGAAATTTATTTTGCTATAGATGCGGTAGGATTGGAGTTGTTACACCCAAATGCCCCAAATGTACGGAAAACACCCAAAGGAGTGTGACGAGGACGGGAGAATCACGCTCCACTCAGACTCCCGTGGAAAAGTGAGAGATGTAACTACCCAAACAGATATTTTTTCAATACAAATCCTATAATCAAAAGTAAGACAAGAAATGATGAGAAAAGTAGTCAAGAGTCATATGTGTTGTTAGGAAATTCGATAATGAAAAAGGGTTTAGAGGTAAAGGTTAATGATTCGAATAAAATACGTACAGGAAGAGTAGGAGGAACTTATGAGGAACGATTGAAGAATTATATTAATGTTAGAGAAAGAATATTTGGAAAGAAATCAGGTGAGTATAAGCTTAAGATATTATTGAAGACGAAGTAAAGATTTGAGCTTAAGAAGAAGACTGCCAGGGATATAAAAGAATGCATTTATAGATGTAGTGAGATGAATATGGAGAGAACAAATTACAAGAGAGTTTTTATACCCTACACCACTTTAGTGGGGAGGGTATATTGGATTTGTGCTGATGTTTGTAACATACAAAAATATTCGTCCTAGACCCACCTTAAAGTATACCAATCGGCTTAGAATCGTTTTCTGAGTCGATTAAGCTATGTCCGTCCGTCCGTCCGTCCGTCTGGCAGGCTGGCTGGCTGGCTGGCTGTCCATGTAAACCTTGTGCGCAAGGTACAGGTCGCAATTTTCAAGATAATTGGATGAAATTTGGCACGCACGTTTTATTTGACCCAAGGACGAAGCCTATTGAAAATGGTTAAAATCGGTCCATTATTTCACCTAGCCCCCATAGAACAGAACCCCCCGAAAAGGGCTTCTGAGCTCATAATTATGTTAAATATACAGATATATCGATAAAATACGGCACAACTAAGTTTTATAGAAGTCTTGATGACCCTGCCAAATTTCATAAAGATCGGGCCCCATTTGACCCTAGCTCCCATACAAAGTCCCCTTCAGAAAATTACTTGAATGTCCCAAATTAACTTATAAACACAAATATCGCGATGAAATTCAGCACAATAAAATATTATGTAAATATAAATATATTCACAAAATTTTATCGGGCTTGGTCCATATTTGCCCCTAGCCCCCATATAAAGCCTCTTTCAGAAAATTAGTTTTTCATCCATAAATTGCCTAAATGTATCGGAACAAGGAAATATTGAAGATAAATGCTTTATTATGAAAAATAAATCACATTTAATATTCATAACTGGTGTAGGGTATCATATGGTCGGCCACGCCCGACTATACTTTCTTACTTGTTTTAGAGATAAAGATAGGAGACCTAAAAATAAGAGGGTTACTGGATACGGGTGCTTCCATAAGTCTCTTAGCAAAGAATTGTGAAAGTATAATGGACAATTTAGATAGGAAAATAACTCAATTATTATACAATTTAAAAACTGCTGGAGGTCTAACTCTAGGTGTTATAGGCAAGGTAGAAATGACGGTGGAATTGGATGATTTGGTAAAACCAATAACATTCTACCTTTGTCCGTCTCTGATACAGGATGCTTATTTTGGAGTGGATTTTTGGACTAAATTTGGACTTGCATCAAGAATATTTTCAAACGAAGAGATAAATATCGAAAATTTGTCTTCTGAATTTCCTGTGGGTGTGGATAAAATAGATGAACATGATCTGACTTTAGAACAAAGGAATAAACTTGAGAAAGTGAATACTGAATTTAAAAGTTATGAGGAATTTGGATTAGGTAGAACCAGTTTAGAAGAGCACCAAATAGATTTGGTAGATGATACAACTCCGATAAAAGATAGGTATTATCCGGTATCACCAGCGGTACAAGAACTAATGTTTGCGGAAATAGATAATATGTTAAGTTTAGGTGTAATAGAGCCGAGTAATAGTCCTTGGAGTAGTAGGTCATCGTTAGTCAGGAGACCGGGAAAGAACAGACTATGTCTAGATGCGAGAAAGCTAAATGAAAGAACAATTAACGATGCCTATCCCATACAGAATATCGAGGGAATATTGAGTAGGTTGGATGAGACATTCTACATAAGTAGTGTCGATCTCAAATTCGCGTTTTGGCAAATTCCTTTAGAGGAAAATTCTTGAGCCTACACAGCCTATTCCCGGACGTCCGCTCTATCAATACACTGTCATGCCATTCGGCTTATGCAATGCGGCTCAAAGGTTGTTTAGGCTGATGGATAAGGTCATCCCGGAGAGATTAAAGGCTAACGTCTTCGTATATTTGGACGATCTATTAATTATATCAGTAGAATTTGAAACGCACCTAAAGTTATTAAATGAAGTCGCGGTATGTTTAAGAAATGCCGGGCTAACTATCGGTCTAAAAAATCAATATTTTGTTTTAAACAAATAAGATATTTAGGGTTGAGTGGACGTTTGGCACGTTGGGCATTACAACTACAAAGTTTTGATTTCATCATAGAGCATAGAAAGGGATCGGAAAATATCGTCGCCGACACACTTTCGAGGTATGTTGAGGAATTGGGAGATTTGCCTGAAAATATACTAGGTTTTGAAACAACTGAATTTGAATCGGAAGAATACGAAAATTTGAAGAAAACAGTTGAACAGAATTCAGATAAATTACCAGATATGAAGGTTAGGAATGGTTTAGTATTCAGGAAGAACAGGTTAGTGAATGAAATGGATCCGTTACAAGAGTTCCAATGGAAACTTTGGGTTCCCAGTTCTCTAACTTATACGTTGATAAAGGAAGCACATGAATCTTTGGATAGATCACATGGGGGAATAAATAAGACTTTAAATCATTTGAAGAACAAATAGTATTGGCCCAACATGATTCTACAAGTAAAAAACTTTATTAATGAATGTGTAGTATGTAAAGAGTGCAAATCAACAAATATGCGACTTATGCCTGAAATAGGAAACGAAGTAATAACGGACAGACCATTTCAGAAGATATACATAGATTTTTTGGGGAAATATCTCCGATCAAAGAAAGGAAACACTTATATTTTCATCGTAATGGATCATTTTACTAAATTTGTTTTCTTAAAGGCATGTGTTTCATAATTTTGGGGTACCGGAGAATATTCATTCAGATAACGGTCAGCAGTTTATCTCCAAAGAATTTCAGAAAATGATCTCCGATTATAATATCATTCACATGAGAACCGCAGTACATTCGCCTCAATCAAATGCAGCAGAAAGAGTCAACCAAAGTATTTTAGCTAGCATACGAATGTACTTGGAGAATGATCATCGGGAATGGGATGAGAATTTACCATCCATCGAATTAGCACTCAGAACTTCAGTACATTCGGCAACAGGAGTTAAACCATTCTTTGCTTTATTCGGTTATAATATGTTTTCTTGCGGCTCTGATTACCGATTGGCAAAGAAATTAAGAGCAAAGGACGATACGGAAATAAGGGACTTGGAAAGATCAGATAAAATAAAATTAGTAAGAGAGAAAATTAAGGATAATTTACTTAAGGCCTATGAGAGAAGTGCTTTAAGGGTACAATAGGGGTGCAAGAGTCGTTCATTTTCAGCCAGGTCAGGAAGTTTATAAGATAAATTTCATTCTTAGTGACTTTAAAAATCGCATCAATGCAAAATTCTGCAGGAAATTCACTAAATGTAGAATTTTAAAAGTAATGGGTAATAATATGTATCAGCTAGAGTCTTTAAATGAAACACCCATCGGAGTATACCATGCTAAGGACATTAAACAATAAGTGATTGGTTTAGGGAATGTGTAATATGTGGGTATGAATTGATAGAACCAGGCAATGCCTAAATAAAATTGAAATATGTGCAATATATCTATTTTTTTTTTGCGCAATATTAGGTTAAGTTTACGTGTTGTTTGTGATTATACAATATTTATACTTTATTTCCTTTTACCTTTAATTTTGTTCGTTGTTGTCCGCTTTTATATAAAACTTTATTTATAATGGGGTGGTTGTAAAATTTTGCACGTTACCTTTAATTGTTGTGTGTTGATTGTTGTTGTCAATAAATAACTATGGAAAATGAAAATATTGGAAGTCCTTTCTGGAAAATGTAATAGATCACAGGGTTGTATAAAATGGTAGCAGGGAAATATTATAGAATGTAAGGCTGCCACCCTAAAAGGACTGTTATGGAAAATAGCGAGGGGGTAAGAGTAAAATTGTCGACTCATTTAAGAGAATGAAAGTTCATGAAACATAAGAAAATTTTCAAGGCCAATTGAAAACCAAAGAATATAAAGAAATTGGGGCTTGTCAGTTGGTACGTAAAGGAGTTGTCATTCGGTACCTAACTCTAAGTATGTATTGGTAGAATTTTTGTATTAGTATTGGAGCTCCAACCACTTTCACCACACTTTCCAAACATACATACTTGCATAAAATCGTACATAAAAATTTTAGGAAAAATAAATAACATTTAAATTTCTACATTCGCAGATTTTTTAATTTATTTTGCCCACATCTAATCAGTAAACATTTAATAAATATATTTTTCGGACTTAAAATCTCTTTGCAAAAAAATGAGTTTATTTTAAATAATTTTTTCATTTTCAATACCAAAATATACAACTTAGTTTTGTCAATTTTAATTTCAACACACAAAAATTAATTGTCAAAAAAATTAAAAAAATATTTTTTTAGTTTGTGAAAAATAAAAATATTTCGGATTGTTAAATGCGATAAAATTGTGTAAAAAATTAAAAAATAGTTATGTGTTTGTGAAAAAACGTCGTTTAAGTCCTATTATCCCGGTATTTTCGCGAAAAAGTTTTGAAGTATTGTGAGAAAATTGAGTTCTCACAAGTGTGTTGAATTTACACAGAACTCGTCTGTGAAGAGAAGGAAATGTTATTGTTGTAAAACAATGTCATAGTCCAATTTCTTATTATTCTTTGTTGAAAACGTTCATTGAACTTATGTTTATGTTATATTTAATGTATGTTTCGGTACTTCGTTAGTTTTTATACCCTACACCACTATAGTGGGGAGGGTATTATGCGTTTGTGCTGATGTTTGTAACACCCAAAAATATTGGTCCTACACCCACCTTAAAGTATACCAATCGACTTAGAATCACTTCCTGCTAAGCTATGTCCGTCTGTCTGTCTGTGTGTCCATGTAAACCTTGTGCGCACTCTACAGGTCGTAATTTTTGAGATAATTTGATGAAATTTGGAACATGCACTTCTCTTGGTCCAAGGACGAACGCTATTGAAAATGGTTGAAATCGGTCCATTATTTCACCTAGCCCCCATACAACCGGACCCCCCGAATAGGGCTTTAGACCTCATAATTATGTTAAATGATCTGCTGTCTCTACAAAAATTGGAAAGGTTTAGTTTTATATATGTCTTAATAATTCTAGTGATTTTCGTAAAGATCGGGCATTATTTGACCCTAGCCCCCATACAAAGTCCCCCTCAGAAAATGACTTGAATGTCCACAATTCACTTATAAACACTAGTATCACGATGAAATTTGGCACAAATGAGTTTTATATAAACATAATTCCCAACAATAAATTTTATAGGGATCGGACCAAGTTTTACTCTAGCCCCCATAAAAGCGGACCTTCCGATTTGGGCCTTTTAGCTCATAACTTTGTCAAATATACTACTATCTCTACAACTAAGTTGGATATAATTATAAACAAGTAAGAAATTATAGTCGGGCGTGGCCGACCATAGGATACCCTACACCAATTGCGAATATTAAATGTGATTAATTTCAATAATGAAGCATTTCTGTTAATCTTATATAGGTTCCAAATAATGTCTGTTCATGTTCGGTTGTATGCTGACTAGGAAAAATAGAAGACCGATTTCAATCATTTTCAACAGCCATCGTCAGTGGATCCAGAGCAGTGTTGCCAGAACTCCCTCAGAATAAACTGCAAAATGACGGTCAAAAAAGTGCAAATTCGTTGAAAAAAGTGCTAAATTCAAATCAAGTTTTTAAAAGTCCATTAAGCCATGTACAGGTCGCAATTTTTCACATAATTCAACGAAAACGCAAAAAACTATTTCAAATTGGTCCATGATTTGACCTTGCCTATATAAATATTCCTTTACAAAATCAATAAGGGGTAATTTAAAAAAAAATTCGAACAAAAAAGTAGGATTTTGAATGTAAATACGTAATTTAAAGTTCTCCAAAATTTTCAAATTCGTTAGGGTCCAGATTTTATCGATGTTTAAAGTTCATATTTTTTTTTGGATTTTTTTTTTTTTCAACAAGCATTAAATTTTACATCGTATATTTTTTGTACTGTTGATCCGATTTAATCGTTTTAGTTCCCAATTAAAGCCTATGTCTTATAGGTTGAAAATATTCAATATATTTAAAAATTTAATGTTTTATTTGATGATGAACACAAAAAAATTTAAGAATTTGAAACAAAAATTAAATTGTTTATGAACAAAAAATTAAAATTTTTGAAATTTGTATGGAAATGATGTGGATTATTTTACTAAAAGTTAATTTACTTGATCCCCCATTGTTTCATTCTGAAATTTTTATATTTTATTGGGAACACTATAAGCAATCTTATGTGAAGGAATAAAGAAAATGTAAGGTACACTTTTTGAGATATCCTTGATTAAAGGACGTTGTTTGATGTCATCATTCTTACATTAAAACTGAAATATTTTCAAACTGCAAGATATAGGTTTTAATTAGGAACTAAAATGATAAATATTTTAGAAAATATACGATGTCAAATTTAATGCTTGTTGAAAAAAATCTTAAAAAATCTGAACTTTGAACCTTGATAAAATCTAAACCGTAATCAATTTGGAAATTTTGGAGAACTTTAAACTTCGTATTAATACAAAGAATATGTGTACCAAGTTTTATCAAAGTCGGGTAAGGTACAAAACCTGTTCGAAAATTTGTTTAATGCCCCTAAGAATAAGTATATACATATGTATAAATACATATACAATACAAATAACTAATAACACTAGGTAACACCGATTTTGTTTAGGATATAAAACCTATATGGTTTTCTTTGTTTAGGACGTTTAAGACCAGAAAAAGTGTGTATTTAAAAAATCTAGAACGTCAAATCCTTTAATTATTCATTAAAAAATGCTAAAAAAGGGTTAAATTCGGAAGAAAAAATTTTATATTTATAGTTTTAGTTCTTTTTTATATAAACAATTTAATGGGTCTTATTCACAACACTTTAGAATAGGTATTCTTATTGCAAAAATATTGAAAATTCAGTTGAAATAATCTTAAATCTCGGTGAATAGATGTCAGGTTTATTACTCATACTTCCAAGAGCTTTTAGGAAACAATATAAATGTTAATATGACAAATGAATTATGAGGGTTATATTCAAATACACAAGTATGTAATTTCTCCTCTATATAAATCCTCTTTCAGAAAATAAATTTATTCTCAATAAATTATTAAAACATTTTAGTATTATGATACATTCGAAAAAACTATTTGTTTTAAAACATCCTTCTTAGAGCTCGGTCCGTGATCCAAACCATTAAGATCATATTCCGAAAATAAAACCGATACACGATATAAAATTTGAGCATAAATCTAATAAATGAGCAAATCTTGGTAAAACGTGTTGTGTTGGTGCGTATGTAATATTCGGCATTCCTGAACTTTTACCTGTTTTTACATGTTCATACATTTTTATTTTATTGTATATTTTAAATTTTAATGATTTTTATTTTTCAAAAAAATGTTTTTGGAAGATATTAGCCGTTTTAGCATGTAGTCACTACATTGTTAACAAACCAACGCTCTTTTAGCTTATTTTTTCAAATATTTGTTACGATTATTGCATAATAATGTATTATTGCATAATAAATATATTTTGCAGTTCTCTAGAGAAATTAAACTTTAAAGTTCTTTAATTATAAAAAAGTGCAAAATAGAAGAAAAAATGCACTTTTAATGCTAAAAATTTCTAGCAACAGACGAAAAAGTGCTAAAAAGCATCTAGCACTTTTTTCTAAAAAATAAGTGCAGCCGACGAAAAAAAGTGCTAGAATTGCACTTTAAATGCCGTTGTGGCATTTAAAGTGACTATAGTCCATATTTAATTGTTGTGCCATTTATAAGTAAAAAATTACGTGGTCGCAATGTTTTGAAACCAAATTTATACAATTTTACAAAAATTGCAGTTTTTTGGATAGAATATTTGCGGCTCTTCGGTTATGTAAAATATATAAATGAGAAAAATTAGTTTGCATCAAAAAATTCAATCAAGGTCTTTCGTGGACTGAATACGCGGTGTTTCTTTCACCACAAAAATCCATGAAGCACACCTAAGCCGCTAATTTGAATTGTGGACATTCTACAGCAACCGGTAGCTGACAACGATGCTAATACGATAATCGATAAGCAGTTCGAAAAAAACTGCGTTTTGCATTAAAAAGGGTAAAAAAGTTCATTCATGTAAATATATAAATTCTTTACAAAATTTAAATTACCCGAACAGATTTTCATTTTAACGGTTTTTTTTGCGTCAATAATTCATTTAAATTTAAAAATGATAAAAGCAGTTAATTGTAGATAAGCTGGGATATGTTAACTGCAAAAGAAATTTCATCAAAATTTCTCTTTCGCCGAAAACGCGGTGTTTCTTGAGTTACAAGATAATTCGAAGAAGCACGCCTAAACCGCTAATTAAAATTGGTAACACTTAACATTAATCGTCAGCTACCGATTATGCTTATACCAAAATGATAATGCTTATACCAAAATCGATAAGCCGTTAGAAAAAAAGTTCGGTCATGTGTATGAAATTTATTTCCAAACTTTATATAGGTTTTCATTTTAACGGTTTATATATTATTTAATCATTTAAATTCAGAAATGGAAGCAGAAGATAATTATAAAAAAGCAGTTATTGGCTAACCACAAAAATATTTTATCAAAGTTTCTCGTGTGCAGAAAACGCAGTGTTTTTCTTTTAAGAAAAAATAATGGAGCACTCCCTTCCCGCTAA